TTCCAGTCTGTTTTTGAGGATGGGGAGAGTTGTTGAGGAGAAAGGGGAAGATAATAGATTCTGTTCTTGGGGATAAGAAGACTGAGCATTTGAACTATTTTGAACTAATCAGTGGAACCAGCAAGACTTTAGTTACTTCTAGAAAATGTAACAATATTTTAATGTGGTCAGTGACAGAGTATTTGCTTGCATTCTCTGCCTGAAAGTGCGTCCTTGACATTTATTTGTCAAATAACAAAAAAGTCATTTTTCTTCCTTCAGGTAGGAAGTAGCTCCCAAGTCTGTCTCAGCCAGAACACTGAGGGGTTGAATGCCGTGCTAGTAATCTAACATTAATCCTGCGGGGGAGAGTCTCTAGAATGTTTTTCTAGAGCAATACATTGAGGAACCGATTAGAAAATAGGCTAGGACGTGCTGTTGAACTTGTACAGGATATTTATTACACCTGAGCCGGAGTATTATGCACAGGAAAGATGTGAATACATTGGAGAGAATGCAGAAGCAAGAATGGTCCCAGGGATGAGAGATTTCATTACTGAGGGTAGATTAAAGAAATTGGGACTGTTCTTTTTGGAGACAAGAAGGCTGAGAGGAGATCTGATTGAGGTTTTTAAAATCATGAGCTGGTTGGATAGAATAGATGGAGCAAATCTGTTTCCATTTGTAAAAGGAGCAGGAATGGGAGGGCATAGATTTAAAATGATGTGCAAATGAAGCAAGGATAATCCAAGAAAAACAGTGAGTATTCAGAGTGAAATGTGGTGGAGGCAGACTCAGTTGAAGCATACAAGAGGGTCGTGGGTGATTGTTTGATTAGAAATAATGTGCAGGAATTTGGGGGAAAGCAGGAGATTGGCACAATGGGCAAATGGCCTCCCTCTACACTGTAACAATGCATGTGATTCTGTCATTTTATTTTAGATCTAGCGTTCTGCAATGAAAAAGGGCTAACTAAAAATCTTTTTGAAAAAGAACTTTTAGCAATGACTAAGACGATAGAATTTTAGACTATGTTTGAAGGTGAAATAGCCCACTCTGAAGTCAGGGAGTTAAATCTGAATAAAGGAAATTGTGAAGGTAAGAGGTTGAAATAGACTGGGATAAAACATTAAAAGTATGATGGTATATAAGCAATGGGTAGCCTTTATTTATAAACAGTTATTATATAGTTTACCGCATTCCTTAAAGGCACAAAACCCCCCAAAAATGTCAGTTAACTGTGGCTAGCAAAGGAACTTAAAGGTTGTCGAAGGTTAAAAGAAAAGGTATATGAAGTTGCCAGAAAAAGTAGTAAAGAAAGGAAGAATTGAATATGAGTGTGTTATAAATCCAAGGGACAATGGAGAATGAGGACTTGAAAGAAATTAATGTTAGTCAGAAGGTTGTGTCGGAGAAACTGAAGGTTGCTAAGTCCCGGGCCTTGATATTCTACATCCCAGAATGTTGAAAGAAGTTGTTATGGTGATAGTGGGTGCATTGGTGATTATCTCCTGTCGGAGTTTTTCAGGATGTCACTAATAGAATTGATAAAGTGAAGTTGGTGGGAATAGCATAATGCCTTTTCAAAAGGCTTTTGATAAACTCCTACCACAAGAGGTTAATCAGCAAAATTAAAGCATATAAAATAGGAAGTAATGTACTGCCACGGATTAATAATCGGCAACAGACATAAAACAGAGAGTAGGAATAAATAGGTTATTCTCAGGTTGGCTGTGTGACTAGTGAGTTATCGCAAGGATTAGTACTTCAACCTCAGACATTTATCAATGAATTGGACATTGGGGACCAAATGTACATTTTTAACTGTGTGGGTGTTACAAAGTGAAGCAGAAATTAGTACTGAAAGGAAGGTGCAAAGCAGTTGAACTGTCAGATTTAACAATTTGTCAATCTGTACTTTAAACATACATAATGTCTGAACTTCCACAGTCCTTGCTGAACTCCTGTTCTTATGTTCTTAATGAGTTAACCAGACTCCAAAGGGAGCTCCAATTGTGATGAAATCCTCTTCAATTCTGTACAAGTCAGTGAACTATAAACATTGTAAATGCAGAGAACATACAGTTCCATGATGCTAAATTTCAGTTCTAATGGTTACTAAATTCAATCCTGTCTAGGAACAAGGGCAGAGGTTGTTGCAGTTTCCAATCATCACGTTATGGACCAGACCAAATCCCAACAAAACATGTTAAGAAGATAGGCTAGACCAGAACCTTTTCTTATCTTTAAAGGCATTGTGTTCTGGATGCAATTCAGTTGGTCAAACTACCAGCTTGAAGCAACATACACCTTATTCTTACCATACAGTTAAAATACAAACAAAAGAAGAATTGGTATAACTTTAACATTATTGAAAAATTTATCAGAATAATATATTTAACTACTAAATAGCAATCGTTCCAATATAGTAGCATCCCATAAACACACCCTCAGCAGAGGCAAATTCAGTAAAATAGATACAGAGATAGTAGGAACTGCCGATGCTGGAGAATCTGAGACAACAAGGTGTAGAGCTGGATGAACACAGCAGGCCAAGCAGCATCAGAGGAGCAGGAAAGCTGACGTTTTGGGCCTAGACCGAAGAAGGGTCCATACCCGAAACATCAGCTTTCCTGCTCCTCTGATGCTGCTTGGCCTGCTGTGTTCATCCAGCTCTACACCTTGTTATCTCAGTATTCCATCAATGCTGGCTTGTGCCTTGTAGATGACAGACAGGCTTTGGGGAGTCTAATGGGAAAATTGCATTTAAGTAACTTGCTGGAACTTTTTGAATGGCTACCGCAAAGGCTTGTTGAGGATAATACTTAATGTCATGTAATGTGCTACACAACAGATTTGTGAAGAAAGTAGTAGGTTCTGGTGTAAAAGAAACAGTAGCAACATGGATACAAAATTTAGCTGAGTGATAGGAAACTTAAAAAGTAATAGCCATTGGATATTTTTCGGGCTGGAGGAAAGTTTGTAGTGGAATTTCCCAAGGGTCGGTACTTTTCATAATATATATCAATAATCTGGATCTTGGTGTGCAGGGGACAATTTCAAAGTTTGAAGATGATACAAAACTTGGAAGAATTGTAAACTGTGAGGAGGACACGTGGAACTCCAAAAGGATATTGACCAGATGGTGGAGTAGGCAGATAAGGGAAAGCTAAGGCTCAATGCAGTGAAGTGATGCGTTTTGGTAGGGAGAACATTAAAAGACAACATAAAATAGGGGGTACAATTCTAATGAGGTATAGGAGCAGAGGGGCCTGGGTGTTTATTTGGACAGGTGTCTAGACAGATCAGTTAATAAATTCACCAAAGATGCTCAGACAGACAACTTCCATCTAGAAGGACAAGGGCAGCAGATACATAGGAACACCACTAGCTTCAAGTTCCCCTCCAAGCCACTTACCATCCTGACTTGGAAATATATTGCCGTTCCCTCACTGTCACTGGATCAAAATCCTGGAATTCCCTCCCTAATGGCATCATGGATTAACCCACAGCAGGTGGACTGCAGCCATTCAACAAGGCAGCTCACCACCAACTTCTCAAGGGCAACTAGGGATGGGCAATAAATGCTGGGCCCAGCCAGCGAAACCCACATCCCACAAAATGAATAACTAAAAAAATCCAGTGTTCTCAGCTTTATTAATAAAGGCAGAGTACGAGAACAAGGAGTTGATGTTGAACTTGTATAAGACACTTTTTTGATGTCTCCTGGAGTATTGTGTATAGTTATGGGTGCCACATTATAGGAACAATGTGAATGATTAAAGAGAGTGTAGAAGCAGTTTGCAAGAATGGTTCCAGGGATGAGGAAGTTCAGTGATGAGGGTAAATTGAAGAAGTTAAGACTGTTCTCCTCTAGGAAAGAAGGTTAAGAGGAGATTTGAAAGAAGCTTACAAAATCATGTGTGTGCTGTGTTTAATAGATAAGGAGAAACTTTTCCCGCTCATAAAGTGAACAAGAATGAGAGGGCATAGATTTAAAGTGATGCGCACTATACTTACACTGTTTCTTTTTAGTTACGTGTAGAAACACATTATCTATTTCTTCATTCCTAGCTAGTTCCTCTCACACTGTAATTTCTTTCTCCTGATTAACTTTCCAGGCATTCTCTACCATTCTTTATATTCTGTCTGATCATGTGTCACTTGTGTTTTGTGCAGTAAATATCTTTTCTTGATGTTTGCAGGGTAAGTGAGAGATGTGCCAAGTTAAGTGCCCAAGGCAATCAGCAATCACTCCATATCGATTTCAACGGGCATCAGAGAAATTATCCCTAGGAACCATGCAGTGGTGCCAAGGGTTTAAAATAGTCAATGTGCTGCTGACACTTAATGCCCATCTTTCCCTCTCTCCAAAAGGAACAGGACATTCTGTGAGCATAAAGCCCTTCACTAAGTGGTACAGCTTATATTCTTGTTCTTACCTGTCAGTTGTTACTTGTTTGCCGAAAACCCCTTGGACTTGTCTTCTCAAATAGTACAATCAGTCTACCTACATCGCAAAGGCTGCAGCAGTTCAAGAAGGCAGCTTCCCACCACCTTTGGGGGTAGTAAGAACTGCCAATACTGGAGTCAGAGCTAACACAGTGTGGGAGCTGGAGGAACACACCAGGCCAGGCAGCATCAGAGGAGCAGGAAAGCTGATGTTTCGGGTCAGGACCCTTCCTCAGAAATCCACCATCTTTTCCTGGGCATTTCAGAATGTGCAATAAATGCTGGCCCAGCCAGCAATGGCCATACCCCATGAACAAATAAAACAGAAATGATTTGAGCAAACAGTGGCCACAGATGAAAGGACAGGGTCTCCCAGGTAACTTCCACCTCTCCAAGGACTACATGACTCGGATCCTCTCGAGTTCATAATAGAGACATCCAGAAGTTAGGCCTTCAGCAGGGGGAGAGAGCTGGAGCAATGCAAGATACTGCCAAGACAGTCAAGCTGATAGGTAAAGTGGGTAGGTCACCTGGATGAGTGATGGTCTGTTCTGTTTGTGATCTGACAGCAGCCAAAGTGACTGTGATGGATATGACTGTGACTCGGAAAGCTGCCATCACCTGGTTCACCACAACTCAAGCTGCGAAGCTGTTGAGAGGTGGCACGATCCCAGACTGGTTCCATGGCATCATCACCCGGAGGTGAGTCTTGGCTCAACAGCAGTAAGCCTCTGGGCCCCGGATTCCGAAACTGGGAATTATTCCAGGATCACATTTACCATATAAAAGGTGAAATATGCTAACTGTAACGTACCCCTCACCGTGACGTGCCCCTCACTGTGACGTGCCCCTCGCCGTGATGTGCCCGTCACTGTGATGTGCCCCTTGCCATGATGTGCCAATCGCCGTGACGTGCCCCTCACTGTTATACACCCCTCACTGTAACGTGCCCCTCACCGTGATGTGCCCCTCGCCGTGATGTGCCCCTCACTGTTATATACCCCTCACTGTAATGTACCCCTCACCGTGATGTGCCTGTCACCGTGATGTGCCCGTCAACGTGATGTGCCCCTCACTATTATATACCCTCACTGTAATGTACCCCTCACCGTGACATACCCCTCACTGTGATATACCTTGTGTAGCCTGCACTGTGTATACATTCACATGTACTCTGAACTGTAGAACATCATGGGCCCAGTTCAGAGTTGCTCCAGTCTGCAGATTTGGTTTTGGCTAGAATTTGAGTGATTTTAATGAAGTGTATGTCGGGTGACTCAAGGCTAATGGTCAAATGCATGGAACTGCTTTTTATCCAACCCAGCGGTGGGCAGCCATTGGCCATGATTGAATGCTGGAGCAGACTAGTTAGACCAAATGGCCTAATTGTGATCCTCTGTCTAATAAGGTTACGGAAGTTTAAAAAGCAAAGAACAGCAGAGACCAGCTTCTGAGCTGATTATGTAAAACAGGTATTTATTAACAAACTGGGAAACAGTGATGGGACAGCTTGGTGCACCATTAACAGACCAGAAGCCAATTAAGTCTATCATTAGCTGTGGAGTTACTTTGAATGTTTAGCTATGTTATGACAAACCTCCAGGGCAGTTTGGACTTGAAAAACCCAGATTTTGTGGACCTCTGGTGTCACTTAGTCAGTTTGATCTCACCCCCGTGTCACTCACACTGTCTCTCACTGGTGTCTGTCTAACCACTAGCTCCCACACGCCCAGCTCTGATTTGTTTGGAAGCAATGAGTCAGGACAGTGCCTGGTAATGATTACTTCACAATGCCTCAGCCTCCCAATTCACTGCTGACCTCCCCCACACCACCCACCCAACACTAGCCACCCCCCGCAACACTCCCTTCCACTCTCTCAACACTCCCCTTCTCTCAACACTCCCTCTCACGTCCTTCACACTCCCCCTTCATTCCCTCAACTCCCCTTCCCCTCCTCCTGAACCTCCTCCAAACACACCCAGTCCCAAAACACCCCCTCCAACCTCACCACCCCTCCTTTCCCTGAACACACCCTGTCCTCTCCCCCACACCAATCTCCTCCCCTCCCCTCTCCCAAAACAGCCCCTCCCCTCCCTGACATTCCCCCTCCCCTCCCATCCCTCAACACCCTACCCCTCCCCTTAATCATGTTACTGTGTATTAACCCTATATTGTGCATGTATTAGTTGTGTGTGCTAACCCTGTGTTGTCCGTGTATTAACCATGTGTTAATGGTCTGTTTTGCTGACAGAGAAGCTGAAGAATTGCTGAAGGATAAACCTCAGGGCTGTTTCCTTATCCGTGTTGGTGAGAGTCGGATTGGACTTAGCCTCTCATACAGGTAAAGAGGAACTGAGATACCTATCTCCCTGACCTGAGACCCACATCTCCAGCCTCCAACCAGCAACTGGGAACATGGTGGGTTTGAAGGCTGGGTGGAACAATAAGATCCTGATGAGCCATGAGCCATGCTACAACGGACACCAAAACTGATTCCTAAGCAGGCTGTTCTGAGCCAATCTCGGGAAGCACTGCTTCACATAACGAGCAGTGGAGATCTGGAACCCCCTATCCCCAACCGTCCCCAAAGTACCATTGAGGTTAAGAGTCAATTAAGAACTTCAGGACTGAGATTACTGTTGGATCAGGTTATTAAGAATAATGATGGGGGGTGGATACAGGGAGTTAAAGTAATGATCAGCCACATTCAAGTTGAACAGGAAAACCTGCTGCTTTGTGGCCTCTTCCCGTTCATGCTGTTACAAGTAGCCCTGGGGTGAGGCTCCCAAATCATTGCAACTCCAGACAGAGTAGCCCAAACTGTCAAACTCACGGCTGACAAGAGATAAACTGGTTCCCCTTCTTTATGCACTTGCTCCCTCAGTTGGTTGAACAAGACTCATTTGAAAAGGATCCCTCCCGTGTGAATACCTTTCTCCCAGACCAGGATGAACTTATATCTGAAAAGAAGCCAATTTAACCAGGCTAGCTTCTGTTAACAGATGATGTGGAAGTGCCAGTGTTGGACTGGGGTGGACAAGGTCCAGATTATGGTTATATTTATAGTCCAACAGGTTTATTTGAAATCACATGCATTTTATAAATTTCTACTTTGGAAATAAAACCAGTCTGACTCCAAGTTAAAACACAGATTCTAAATAAGCCTCACAGCTAAAATTCATTGTCTGACCTGAGTTGTCACCTCTGGTATACTGATAAAACCTTTGGTTATCTCGGAAGAAGTTTTTGATTTGCATTTTAATTAATCAAAACCTGCATCTCCTTTCTAACTGATTAAATATTTAACAGCCATCTTAGGTTTGTTCAACACATTTGCATCAGTTCCATGACCCTTTGATCTTTTGCTTATAAATCCTGTGTCTGGTGCCACCTCTCTCACTAACACCTGAAGAAGGAGCAGCGCTTCGAAAGCTTGTGTTTTCAAATAAACCTGTTGGACTATAACCTGGTGTTGTGCGAATTTGACCTTCAGTTAACAGAGAGTGAGTTTACTGGTCACTAAATGTGAGAAGAAAGAATAACATAATGCATGCACACACAGATAGGATGTGAGGAATCCATTAAAAGTCAAAAGATATACAAATCATTCTCTGGGTCGTTCATGAAGAATAGACAGGTTAATGTTAATAGTTGAGCAGTTGATTTTATATTTGAGCAGTTGATTTTGCAATCCTTGTCTTTTGCTGTCTTCTAGCACCCAGAATGATAGGTTCCTTTACCTGTAACATGGGCAGTGACTAGTCAGTGGTTCTCAGACTGTGACCTTCACAGCATACAATGACCCAGGCTAGTGCAAACAAATCCCTCAGCTCACGAGCACACTTTCCTCCATTAGCACATAAAAACCAGGATTGAAAAGGCTTTTAACACTTGTCCTTTCAGATCCCTGAAAGGGAAAAATACAAATCAAATCTCTAGTTCAGATCAAACTGATCCCAATCTATAAGTCTTTTCTCTCATCGTGTACGTAGTCTGAGGTAACAGCCAGAAGACTCTTCATATCTGTGCAAGTGTATATTACACTATTCTTTCTTCTCACATTTCATGACCGGTAAACTCACTCTCTGTTAACTGAAGGTCAAATTCACACGACACCAGGTTATAGTCCAGCAGGTTTATTTGACAACATGGTGGCACAGTGGTTAGCATTGCTGCCTCACAGCGCCAGGGACCCAGGTTCGATTCCAGCCTCAGGCGACTATCTGTGTGGAGTTTGCACACTCTCCCTGTGTCTGCGTGGGTTTCCTCCGGGTGCTCCGGTTTCCTCCCACAGTCCAAAGATGTGCAGGTTTGGTGGATTGGCCGTGCTAAATTGCCCGTAGGGTTCAGGGAGGTGTAGATTAGGTGGGTTATAGGGGGATGGGTCTGGGTGGGTTGCTCCAAGGTTCGGTGTGGACTTGTTGGGCCGAAGGGCCTGTCTCCACACTGTAGGGATTATATGAACACAAGCTTTGGAGTTGCGCTTCTTCTTCAGGTGTTAGTGAGAGATGTGGCACCAGACACAGAATTTAAAAGCAAAAGATCAGTTTAGTCTGTAATCTATTTCTTCCTTTTAAATCCATCTCTTTGAAGCTTCCTTAACACCTTGTTGGGTGTGACATTTCAAGATTTCTCTTTCTCCCCCAGGCAGCCCCTGAACTTCCAGCCGCATTTAAATAGGAGTTTATAAGCCTTCCTTTTCAAAGCACATAAAAGTTCAAAATTCCAAATTTCTGTCGTTATGATCCTTTGAAGTCCTGTCAATTACTGAACCCTTTGTCCTGTATGGATTTTCAACCTCTGGCTCTCTGCCCTGCACACACAGGATTAGTGCCAAAACATTGCACCTTTAAAGATTTCTATTTCAAAGAAGACATTTGGTCCTGTAATAATGTGAATTATAGACTTGAGCTGTAAAACTATCACGCAGCCATAGACAGAGGCAGAATCCGGAAGATCCAAGAGTATGTAAGAAATGAGTGTGGGATGTTGCAGAAAAGATTCTCCACGCCAGTTTGTCAGTCTCCAGGCTGCCACTCATTCTGACATGGTTGTTGGTCTACTCCTCCCTTAAGTTTTTACATCAAACCATCTTCGAGGCTTCTTCAATTTCTTGCTGTTTAGGTTCTTTTCTCAGTCACTAACAATCTGGAGGGAAAGGATTTTTTTTTAACCTTCTCTGCTTGTGTCTGTTCCAGAGGATTTGATCGATGCCGCCATTTCATCATTGATGTAACAACAGGCGGACAGTACAACATCACAGGAGAGTCAATATTCCACAACTCACTGCAGGATTTGGTCAATTACCACACTCAATTTCCTATTGACCCCTACAAAGAATGCCTGACTGTGCCTTGTCGACAGGTAGGGATTTGGCCTGCCCCACAACCAGGGCCATTCATTTACTCAATTAGTGGTAGGACAAACCTGATTTTATAGTAGTCACTTGTCATAATGGTGGCATTGTAACACAATTGTGAGTCCATTTCAGGTGAATCCCAATCCACAAAAGTATATAGAAATGCCATGTCACACACAAGGTCATACTGTCACAGGCACAGAGTCACACACACTGTCACACAGTCACAGATACAGATTTACGCATACTGTCACACAGTCACAGGGACAGAGTCACACACACAGTCACATAGTCACAGAGACAGTCACACACACAGCCACGGAGACAGAGTCACACACACTGTCACACAGTCACACAGTCACAGAGACAGTCACACACAGTCACAGAGACAGAGTCATGCACACTGTCACACTCTCACAGGGACAGAGTCACACACACTATCACATGTCACACAGTCGCAGAGACAGTGTCTCACACACACTGTAATAGAGACAGTGTCACACACACTGTCACAGGGACAGAGTCATGCACACAGTCACAGGTATCAAATCATGCATGCTGTCACACAGTCATAGATGCAGATTCACACATGCTGTCACACAGTCACAGGGATGGAGTCACACACAGTGCCACACTGTCACAGGGACAGAGTCATACACACTGTCACACAGCCACAGAGACAGAGACACTCACACAGTCACAGGGACAATCACGCACACTGTAATAGAGACATTCAAAAACATTGTCACAGTGACTGACTCACCGTGCCACACTTATTCAGTCAGATGCACTGTCACACCAACACCATGACAGAGATGTGCACATTCTCTCTGTGACAGTGACAGTCACATTATTGTCTTAATCCCACTAATGTATGGTTCACACTGTTGCGTTGTTGTAATAAAACATCAGCCAGTTTCCTCACCCCTCTGCTTAAACCAAACAATGACATTTCCCCTCTTGCCCCAGTGGTGTTATATTTGGATGATGTGTTTGCAGCTCAGGCTAGGTATCTGATGCCTTGCTTGTTAAATGGGGCTGTCTGTAACATTTTTGAGGGAAATGCCAAAGCAGCTTCTGTCAGGAACAAATCATTATGCCCAACAACTTGGGATATAGGTAACAGAATCAGAAATGGTTGATGATACAATATTGGGAAATAATATAAACAGTGTAGAATTTCACACAGTCACTGAAAATTTGGTGAAGTGGGCAGACAAGTGGCAGATGAAGTTCAATGTAGAGAGTGTGAGGTGATTTATTTGGGTAGGGAGAACATGGGGCTAAGATATGCAATAAAAGGTACAATTAGAATGTGGGTGTAACAGCAGAGGGGCCTGGCAGTACATGAGTATCTGTCATAACTGGTGGCAGGACAGCTTGAGGGAGCAGTATAGAAAGTGTATAGTATCCCAGACTTTACTAACAGGGGTTCCAAGTAAGAAGGCAAGGAGATTGTGCTAAACTTATATAAGACACTGGTTTGTTTTCAGTCGGAGTGTTGTGTACAGTTTCCAGGACTGCACTTACAGAAGAACATGAAGGCAATGGAGAGAATCATAAAAACCCTACAGTGTGGAAACAGGCCATCTGGCCCATCAAGTCCACACTGACCCTCTGAAGAACATCCCACCCCCTTATCCTATCCCTGTGACCCTGCATTTCCAATGCCCAATGCACCTAACCTGCACATGTTTGGACTGAAGGTGGAAACCAGAGCACCTGGAAGAAACCCATGCAAACACAGGAAGAACATGCAAACTCTACACAGACAGTCACCCAAGAGTGGAATCCAACTTGGGTCCCTGGCACTGTGAAGCAGCAATGCTAACCACTGAGCCACCATGCTGCCCTAATGCAGGGAAGGCTGTAGAAGATGTTAATGAGAAATGGTTCCAGGGATGAGGAACTTTAGTTACTTGGATAGATTGGAAAAGCTGGAGTGATTTTCCTTGGGGAAGAGAAAGTAAAGAGGAGATTGGATCAACATGTTCAAAATGCTGAGGGGTCTGGACCTGGTAGATAGAGAGAAACTGTTCCCACTCATAAAGAAATCAAGGATCTGAGATCACAGATTGAAAGTAATTGATAAAAGAAGGAGAAGTGATGTTTGGTAAGAATTTATCCACGAACGAGTGGTTGGGGTCTGAAATGCACTGCCTGCAAGTTTGATGGTGGCAAAGTCAATCGGGCTTTCCAATGTCTGAGTGAAATGTTGTGGGAAGGATGGCACAAAGAGAAATGCTCATTCCATGAGCTGACACAGGCATGATGGGCCAAATGGCCTCACTTTGTACTGTAATAGTTCCGTGATTTTACAAATGCCATTCTGAAACCATGAATAAGGCTGTACAATTGATGTCAGTGCTGGCCTGCTTATAACCAGGACTAGGCCCTGTGATTAGCCAAATTTCCAGCAAAGTAGAAAGAGCAGGAGTACCGCCGAGGCTGACTAAACATGTCACGAATGTGTGCATTGCTGCTGTTGCAGGAGATTCTCCCACCTTCCCTGACTAGCTTTCCCTCCCCCGCCTGCCTTCGCTCTGTTCCTCATCCCCTCCCACACTGGCCTCCCTATGCCTATTCTCCCCTCCCCTGCCCAAGCACCCAGACTGGCCTCCCTAATCAAGCTCTAAGTGCCCACTTGCTGGAGTTGCCTTCCCTGTTTTAACATGGTCGCATCAGTGGGGTTTCTATGGGGAGATGTGCTGCAAATTAAAGAGAGAGCGGGAATGATTGTACACACCAGGTGCACTGAGCCTCTTCAGGTCCTTTGTTCTTGGATCTTGCTGTCTGGGAATTTGTTGCAGTCTGACGATGTAACAGGAGGTAGTCTGAACTCACAGGGATTTTTCTCAATGGGGAGGGTCTCTTCACAGGCAGCAAGTTGAGGCTCTGTGCTCGTGGGTGTAGATGTTGGTAAAGGATTGCCAGATGTTCTGCATGTGACTGAATTCTCCTCTTTTGCAGCTGAGCCAGTCCACTGTCCATTATGAAGAGCTGTGCCTTTTTGTTCCCACAAAGGAGGTACAAGGCTCACCAACTCCTCACTCAAGTTCCTCAAGCTCCAATCCAGAGCCCTCAGACCCTGCTCCTGACAGGTGGACTGCTAGCCTATCAAAACAAGTGTCCAGTGGCCCTCGATTACCCCCAAGAGGAAACCGTCACAAGATGCCTCCTCTTCCACTTCCACGTCGAGGAATCACTGACTCGAAACCAACACCAGAGACTAGAACCTCCTCTGGTGGTCAGCCTTCTCTGCTGCCAGTGAAGAGACTTTACCCCTCATTCAGCCAGCTGACTGCCTTGTCTACAGAGCAGGAGCCCATTCCTGCTGTAAGTACCGCTCAAATTTTATTCTCACACGCAATTGGATTTGGTTCAGATATATGGTCTGGAACAGCTACCTCCTGTGGGGCTTTGATTGGGAACTTTAAATGGCCAATTTGATGGTATTAGACAGGATCTTTCAAAAGTTAACTGGGGTAGACTGTTTGCAGGCAAAGGGATGACTAGCGAGTTGGAGGCTTTCAAAAGTGAGATTCCGAGAGTTCAGGACAATATGTTCCTGTTAGCATGAAGGGCAAGGCTGGTGGGTGAAGGGATCACTGGATAACTAGAGATATTGAGGCTCTGGTCAGCAATAAGAAGGAGGCATATGTCAGGTATAGACGGCTGAGATCAAGTGAATCTCTTGAGAAGTATGAATGGATAGGGGCATAATTAAGAGGGAAATCGAGGGCAAAAACAGGACATGAGAGAACATTGGTAAATAAGGTTAAGAATAATCTAAAAAGATTCTATAAGATACATTAAGGGTAAGAGAGCAATTAGAGAGAGAGTAGGGCCCCTTAGTGAGCAACAAGACTGTCCATGTGTGGAACTACAGGAAATGGGAGAGATAATAAACAAACATTTTGCATCAGTTTTTATTGTAGAGAAAGGCATTGTAGCTAGGGAACTCAGGGAAATAAACATTCATGGCTTGAAAACAGTCTATAGTACAGAAAAGGAGGTGCTGGAAGGTCTTAAAAGCATAAAGGGAGATAAATCTCCGCACTTGATAAAGTGTATCTCAAGACATTGTGGGAAGCTAGGGAAGAAATTGCGGACCCCCTGGCAGAGATATTTGTATCATCTACATCCATGGGTGACATGCCAAAAGATAGGAAAGTGGCTAATGTTGTACCTTTATTTATGAAGAGCTACAAGGAAAAGCCTTGGAAGTATAGACCAGTGAGTCTGATGTCAGTGGTGGGTAAGTTGTTGAAGGGGATTCTGAGATATCAGATAGACATGCATTTGCAGAGACAAGGACTGATCAGGGATAGTCAGCATGGCTTTGTGTGCAGGAAATCGTATCTCACTGACTTGTTTGAATTCTTTGAGGATGTGACCAAGAAGATGGATGAAGGCAGAGCAGAAGGTGTTATCTACATTGACTTTAGGAAGGCTTTTGACAAGGATCCGCATTGTAGACTGGTTAGTAAAGTTAGATCACATGGGATCGAGGGAGAGCTAGCCAATTGGCTTGATGGTCAGAGATAGAGGGTGGTGGTGGAGGGTTGTTTCTCGGCCTGTGACAAGCAGTATTGTGCAGGATTTGTCATTTATATAAACTATTTGGATGAGTATATAGGAGGCATAGTTAGTAAATTTGTGGATGACACCAAAATTGGTGGTGTAGTGGACAGTGAACAGTGAAGGAGGTTATTTAAGAGTACAATGGGATCTTGATCAGGTGGGCCAATGGACCAAGGAGTGGCAGATAGAGTTTAATTTAGATAAATGCAAGGTGTTGCATATTGGTAGAACAAACACGGGCAGGACTTTCACAGTTAATGGTAGAGCCCTTGAGAGTGTTGTTGAGCAGAGAGACCTAGGGGTTCAGGTGCATAGTTCCTTTAACGTTGTGTCACAGGACGAAGGCTGGAACGTTTGCCTCCATTTCTCAGACCATTGACTAAAGGAGTTGGGATGGCTTGTTGAGGCTGTACAGGACATTGGTGAGGCCACTTTTGGAGTGTGGGATGACTCTATGGAGCTTTTCTGGGGGCTGACCTTGCCCAAAGAGTTCAAGAAACTCCTGGATAATATTGGCTGTTCAACTAGCCATAAAGTTGACCTCATATTCAGATGAAGGTGATATACCTTCAGGCTAATCCTGAGCTTCCTACGGCCCCTCTGACCTTCTTAGCTGAGTAGGGTTCCAGCAGTAAGCCCCCACTACAAGCATCCTTGATAGTGGTGGTCTGGTAATTCCCTCTCCCATCTCATTTCTATGTCGGTTCAGTGGGTGACAGGTATGGACTAGCAATCCAGAGGCTCAGGTTAATGCTTTGGGGACATGGATCAAATCACAAAGCTGGTGGAACTTAAATTCAATTAATAAATATAAAATTGAAAGTTATTCTCAGTAATGGGTGGGTGACCATGAAACTATTATCAATTGTCACAAAAACTCATCTGATTCACTAATACCCTTTAGGGAAGGAAATCTCCATCCTCATCTTATCCAGACCCGCAGTATTGCAACTCACTCATAATTGCCTTCTGAAATAGCCAAGCAAGCCTCTCTGTTTGTGGGAAATAAGGGATGGGCAACAAATGCCAGCCTTGCCAGCATTAACCACATCCCATGAAAGAATTGTTTTTAAAAATGAAGTGAATTTCTCAGACATTTTAATTTACCTCTGATGAAGAAGTCTCAGGAATTCTGGGACAGAGTGAAATGGAGGGGTAAAAAAAGCCCACATCCATTATCCAGCGATTTCAACATTGGAATGTGGGCAAAGCAAATTTATCTCAATCATTATTCCATGACAAATCTTTGCAAAATTATATACCAATATTAAAGGTGGAGACAAGTCATCAAGGAATTTTGATCCTTCCTGTATTACAGTGTTTAAAATATGAAGAGCAATTTCCTGTCCCACCTGAAATAACTGCACAGAGGCCAGGTCCCATCGCAAAGACACCCTGTATTTATTAGTGCACAGTACACTGCCTGTAGTCAGCAAGCTTAGAGTCAATTCTCAACTGAGGAGATTCTAATCCCCTGGTTATATATATATAGGATACAGTGAAAAAAAGTAGTTGTGTAAATAACTTTATTAATATTCCACTACCGGGAAAGACACCCATGCAGCCAGGGAACCAGTGACAAGCAGAGCCCCTTAGGGTTCAAGGATCAAAGCAAAATTGAATTGGAAGGGGGAATAACGCAATGCCCCCTTTCCCTAAAGGCATTGAGAGTATTGGTGGGACACCTGCGCTGTAACGTAGCCATGGAAGAAGGGGACGCAGTCGGCAGAAATGACCCCTTCCACAGCTTGCTGCCTGGACCTGTTAATGACCAGTTTGGCCAGGCCCAGGAGCAGACCCACAAGGAGATCCCCCAACCTGCCTGCTCCCCTCCCCACCAGGTGCCCAAAGATCAGGAGCGTGGGGCTGAAGTGCAACCAAAGCCACAAAAGGAGGTCTTTGAGATAACTGAAAACGGAGTGCAAGCGCCCACACATGTAATGTAAAGGACCTATGCACCTGAACCCTTAGGTCTCTCTGCTCAACAACACTCTCCAGGGCTCTACCATTAACGGTGTAGTCCTGCCCGTGTTTGTTCTACCAAAATGCAACAGTTCGCATTTATCTAAATTACGTTGTCCACAGCACCACAAAACAGACAGTTTGGGCTGGGAGTCTATGAACCACCGCAATCCGCGGTTACAAGGGACTGTTGCGTGCAAAACCCTCCACCCAGATCCCCGACGGAAAGACGGAAGACTCCCACATAGAGACCCCTCCACTGGGGATCTCCGCCATCCGATGGCAAATGGGCACAGCGGGATGTGCCAGGGCGGTGGGTGAAGAAGAGGAGGTGGATGGTGTGCAGCAGCAGTCTGTACAGGGCCTGCTGTTTAGCATTTCTAAAATCTATACTATCAATGTTTTGGAGGCGTCTCAGTTTGTGAAGCACATGCCCCCAGGGAAAGAATGGGATCTTTGGGCCAATGTGAAATTCTGATCAGGCAGGGGTACATGCAGATGGGATTCTGCCACATACCTGAGCATCCTCTAACTGGGTCACAATGTTGGATCCGAGCACTGCCGTTTTAAGGTGTTGGATGGCAGTGGTCAGGAGCTGGGCATCTACTGCGGCCCCTGCGTTCCAATTCCTGCAGCAGCATCCAACCCAGGCCCCCGCCACCTAGCATGCCCCTGACCCTGGTCACACCCGCAGCCACAGCCCTCCCCTCCATCAGCCACTTGAACTCACAATTGTGGAGGTGCAGATTCCTTTGCAATGGCCCTCTGGCGTTAGACGCTACTCCTGATTGAGGGTAGGCCCAGCACAAGTCAACCATGTCCCAGACAGTGATTATGTCTTGGTAAAAGAAAGGCAGCGTCCTGAGGGCAACCTGCAAATCCTTGCACTCGATAAACATGAGCTACGTGTTGTAATTGACGTTATGCACCTGGTGGATCAAATACTTCGCCAGGGTGCACCAGCTAGCTAGCAGGAGGCTCAACATAAAGGTATCGCTGCAAGGTCTGAAGGCAGAAAGTCACCATCTGGCTATGGACATCTCCTGGTTATATCGGTCAGCCGAGGCTTTCATGACTGGCCCAGGTTAACAACCACAATCAAGAGCCTCGTAGTTAACAAGGGTCAACCTGGTCTCAATCTCTACACTACCATGGAGTCCTATCACCACGGAAACAAACCCCTTGGTCCAACTTGTCCATGCCAACAGGATTTTCCAAACTAAACTAGTCCCACTTGCCTGTGTTTGGTCCATATTCTTCTAAACTTGTCCTATTCATGTACCTGTCCAGAAATCTTTCAAATGTTGTAAATGTACCAGCCTCTGCAGCCTCCTCTGGCAGTTCATTTCATATACACACCACCTTCTTTGTGAAAAGGTTGCCTCTTGTGTCCCTTTTAAATATTTCCGCTCTCACCTTAAAATTATGCCCTCTAGGTTTGAAATCCCCAACCCTCGGGTAAATACCTTTGTTATTCACCCTATCTATTGTCCTCATGATTTTATAAACCTGTATAAGGTCACCCCGCAACTGCCTATGCTCCAGTGGAAAATGTCCCAGCCTATCCAGCCTCTCCTTGTAACTCAAACCCTCCAGTCCCAGTAACATCCTTGTAAATCTTTTCTGTACCCTTTCCAACTTAATAAATATCCCTCCTACAGCAGGACAACCTGAACTGTACACAGTACTCCAATATCTTGTACAGCTGCAACATGCCATTCCAACTGCTATACTCAATGATCTGAGCAATAAAGGCACGCATGCCCAACACCTTCTTCACTACTCTGTCT